AATTATCACATTTAGGGTAGCCTCAAATCCCAGTTATTTCTACTTCAAACCAGGGCTGAAGCGATTGTACTCAAGGGTAAATCTGCATATAATTACTCATAAAAATCCAGATAATAAACACCTGTTCAGAAGCTGTCCTGAAGGGGATTTTTTTTTTTTTTGTTCTAAGCACTATTTGTCTAAACATCAATTCTTCAGATATCTGCTTTAATATTTCTTTGACCATTTACCCCCAGCATCCTCAGGCAAAAATGCATAGTAGGGAATGAAGAAATGATGTGGGCTGAACTTGAGTCATATTGAAAACCACAAGTGATCAGCTGAGATGCAGGAGAGTGAAAATACCCAAACCATTAACAATGTTTGAAACATAAAACCTGGTTTCAGTCCTAAACACATGCTTTAACTTAATCCACATGAGTGTGAATGTCAATATGAATGTGATATTCCAGATAACATTAACAGAGCAAACCAAAGAGTTGAGAGTGAAGTTTTTAATGATAGCCCTGCATGTTATTGAAGCTTTGCCTCTACCAAGCAACTGCTAGTTTTCCTAGGGGTTCCATGTATATCACAGAGATTTCCTTTCCCATTCCTATCAGTGGAAGGAACCTCCCTGAACTTGCTCCTACAGGGTTTGGATGAAAGCCCAGAATCATTCTGAGAGCTGCATACATGCTTCAGCCTTTGCCTGTAGCTTTTGCCCCCTCTCATGACTTCTTAACCCAGGGGTCAAACGTAGTAGAAAATGAACATTTCAAAAATAGGGCAGCCACGGCATATCTTTACTGCCATCCAGAATGCTTGCATCAGGATTTCTCCAGGAGCTGCATTGTACGTGTGTGAGCTATGCATTCCATTCTCCAGTGCAGCCTGTCTCAACCTTTTTACTCTGGAGGAATCCTTGAAATGATTTCCAGGTCTCTGGGAACCTCTGCATAACAATGGCAAAAAAATATGAAAACTTCACAATACAATCCACTTTTACCCTACACAATCCATGTTTTACAATGTTTATAACATTAGCAAAGTGGCAGGCTGGCAGCTGAGTCATGGTGTGTAAAAATTCCCACATGCATTGTGTGACATGTGAATTTCAAAAAGCAGTGCTTCGTTTTTCCCAGTCACAATCTCCTACAGAACCCCTGGAACACCAGTGGAGAAAGGCTGCTGTGATGCACATAATGCACGGTGATTAAACATATATATATAGAACAAGTTATTTATCAATTTCAGTTACGTTTGTTAGTTTAAATGTTTTTCCATTTTACACCATTATAGTTGACATAAATATGTTTTTAAGAAAAAAAAACTTGAAGGGCAAGGTAACTACATTTCCCTAAAATCAGTTAAAGCCAGACTTTACTGACTTCATTTCCTTTTGGTATATAACATCTAAAGTAGTGACCCAGAAACTGCATTTGGTTGACATTATCTAATCGCCCTTATTGATCAGCCTCCCTCAATCCCTTTGCTAAAAATAATGGCAGAGCCTTAGAAATATGGAAAATTTCTTCCATTATACCAACGTTCAACCTTTCTGTAACAAAAGAAAGCACAATGAGAGAATGTGGAGCCATTCACAATCGTCCCTATTGATTGAAAATCATTTAAATACCATCTGAAATGTCACTGACATTTACTGCTCTGTTTTTTTTCAAAACAAATTACACATGTTGACAAGTAAATAACAAGAGGTTGCTTATCGTGGCAGCTGTCATCTAGACATGCCAATAAATTATTCATATCAGTGAGTTTTATTGTCTTTTCCCAGTGAGTGACATGGTGAGTTGAAACAGAGAGGTTCTTGGCTGACAGGCTATTATGCTAGATCTTATAATGCAATAATACAGGAGAAAAAATGAGCATTCTTGATCTAAACACTGTGGGTGTGTTTTTCCCACAGGTAGGCATGTGTAAATGGTTTTCCAGACTATTATCATACACATGTGTTGACTTCTCTTTTCATTCCTAGCTCTTTCAAACAATCCTTAAATAAATGTTGCTTAGTTGCAGTTCTAAGCAGTAAGTATATGAGAGGTACATTTGGGGTCTCTTAAAATATTGTATGGTTTGATTTGATTTATTAATTTGTATGCTACCTGGATCACCAAGGTACTATAACTCTGAGGCAGCTTACGTGTTAAAAATAAAATAAACATACAGTAAAAATGACAAAAACAAAGAAACAGATTTAAAATACATACTATACATCAGGGGGATAACCAACTCAACAGTTATCAAAATAGACTACCAGGGAATAAATCACTACATCTTACCAAATGCCTGCTGGAACTGCCACATTTTCACTGCTTTATGAATGGTCAACAGGGGTTTATGGTTGCTCTATGCTAAGAAAGTGAGCAAATTATAATATTGTTTTAGAAAGGAGTATTTACTAATTGACAAGACGATAAGGGCTGGAATTCCATGCACTCCCCCATTTGCCATCAGTGATATTAAGATGTACAAAAAAACCTAATACAAAGTTTGAAACTTGATGAGACTTCTGAGTTCAATTCCACTTGTAGTTCCACTGGCCAATTCCACTGGCCAATTTCTACTGTCAAAAACAAAAATTGTGAAAAACAAGAAACTTGAGAGAGAAATTGGTATATATAATTATGGTATAAAATTGCAGCATTTAAATAAATGTTGAGTGGATAGAAACCATTAGGTCAGAATGCCTGAAACCACAAGGTATGTTGGAATAGAATAGAATCAAGTGGAAAAAACCAGTGAATGTAAGTATTAACAACAATATAAAAAAATTAATTATTAAATCATATAGTGGAAGATATTCAAATATTTAAAATGGAGAGTTGTCCTCCTTCCTGCGCACACGCGTGTGCTCTCTCTCCCTCTCCCCCCCATATGTATATGTATATGAAGTATATTCATTCTCTCTTCTGATGTTTGAAGCCAGTCTTAGTGCTCCATTATGATCCAATAAATCTATTTAGATTTATTGTCATTATTAAGTTTATTATAAAAGCAGATAGAAGAGTGTAGTTCCATCATTTTGTTATGTATTCTTATATTTTGTGTTAGTTAAGTATTATGGAAAAGAAATAGGTGGAAGCAAGAGAGACAAAAACAAAATAAGAGATGTTGGCTAATCTTAAATTATAGCAGGGTCTTTCAACTTCCCAAAGATTACTTCTGTGCCCAGTGCAATTCAAATACAAGGTGGTTGTTATTCAAAAATGTCTTTGTGTTTCTCTCAAGGCTCCAGTGCAATATCCAGTAAATATTCTATTCACCACATGTGTATGTGAATGAATTATATATTTGTAGCTAGGATTTAGATATACAGATATATATCCAATATATCTACATATCTATATTATCCTTGATAATGTTCTCTTTGTACTTTTTCACTTTAAGGTACCAGTTGTGTAATTATATGCACTAGTTCTAGCTATGTACCACCACCAGTGTACATCTGAAGCTATATTTCAGATTTCTAGCCACTTGGCTATTACACCTAGAAAACCAGGATGAGTGTGGGAGAGGCACAAAAATCCACCTGAAGGTGACTTTCAGTATATCAGTCTGAATTAACAAGTTTTATTCAGTCATTGATTATGTGCTATCAGATAGGGGTTGGCACTCTTAGCAACCACAAAGAGAGAACTTCTCTAAGCTGATTTGTCTGCAGCCTGGTCCTTCAAGTTTTCTCTTGGTGCAACCATTGTCATTGTAATGCATCCATCCTCCTTGCCACTGGTTGTCCTTTTTTTTCTCTTTCCTTCCACCTTTCCAGCCATTATAGACTTCTCGAGACAACTAGGGTTTCACATAATGTGTCCAAAATATGATAATTTGAGCCTAGTCATTTGTGCCTTGAGTGAAAACTCTGGATTGATTCTTGGCTATCCATGGTATTTTCAAGAGTTTTCTCCAACACCAACATTTGGGAGCATCAGTACACTTTCTCTCCTGCTTCTTCAAAGTCCAACTTTTGCTTCCCTAGAATGTCACTGGGAAAATCATTGCTTACATGATCCTGATTTTTGTAGGTATAAAAACACCCCAGTATTTGAGTATCTTTTTCAAGGTCTTCACAGCTACCCTATGAAGTTCTAATTTTTTGCATATTTTTTGACTGCTACTTCCTTTATTGTTGATAGTTGATCTAAAAGCAGAAGCTAGCCACCACTTCAATATCTTCATTGTCACTTCTAAGGCTGTTTGCTGTACCTGTTGTCATTAGCTAGGTTTTCTTAATTTTAATTGTAATCCCATTTTTTCACTGTGCTCTTTGACTTTCCTTAGTAGACCTTGCAGATGATTTGCATTTTTCTCTATCAGAGAAGTGTCATCAGCATAGTGGAAGTTATTGAAGTTTTTTTCTCCAGTTTTAAAACCATGTTAACATTTTCCAGTCCAGCCTCCTTCAATATAAACTAGGTTGAATACAGCTTTGTCTCACTCTTTGCCAACCTGCAACCAGTCTGCTTCACCATGTTCCATCTGGAATGTGTCTTTCTATCCTATATATAGATTTTGCATGAAGGCAATGATATGTTCTAAGATTCCTGTTTTCCTAAGAACATTCCATAACCTAAGGCTGTTGACACAATCAAAGGCCTTTCTATAATCTATGAAACACATGCTAACTTCTTTTTGGTATTCTTTGGCTTTCTCAATGATACAGGGTACATCAATAAAGGCCTCGTTCCTTGGGCTTTTCTAAAACCAGTTTGATCATTGCCATTTCTATTTCCATGTAGGGCTCTAATCTCTTTTGGATGTTCCTAAGCATTATTTTGCTGGCATGTGGAAGTAAGAATACGGTGCAGTAGTTTGCACACTCTCTTAAATCTTTCTTTGATATTAACATATAGAATGACCTCTTCCAATCTTTTGGCCCCTGTTATTCTCCAGATTTGCTGGTACAGCTTGGTTCAAAACTATACTAATTCTTCTTTTGTTCCTTGCCATATTTCTGTATGTCTTCTATCAATTCCAGTAGCCAGTATTGATCTCACATCTAGTATTAGAGGTTCTAGAAAATAGGGAATATCAAAGTATCTTGAATTTTGACATCCCTGGTATACAGAATTTCAGTATACTTCTTCCAATTTTGTTTGATCTTTTTTGAATCAGTGACCATATGTCTATTGGCATCCTTTTACCTTTTACTTTGAGATTGGAACTTTCCTTGGTGGTGTTTTGTTTTGTTTTTTAATCTTTACAGACGTCATAGTAATACTATTTCTTGTTTGTCTTCTCTTTTTGGCTTTTTCCACCATCTGTTACCTGATATCCAGTTTGGTTTCTTCCGTTTCTTGTTCTTTGGTGGTCTTTTCACATTCATCCTTAACAACTTCTTGCATTTCATTCTATAGTTCCTCTGGTTGCCTGTCATTAAGGTTCAGTACTTCAAAGCAATTCCTGATGTTCTCCTTGAAAATGATGGATATATTCTCAAGATCATATCATGGGAAGTGGTTGGCTTTGTTCTTTGCTTTAGCTGGACTTGGAACTTGAGACTTGCATGTGAGCAGTTTGTGATCTGTTCCACAGTCAGCATCTGGTCATGTTTTTGCTGTTGTAACTGAGTTTTTCCACCTCCTTGTATTAATACTATAGTCAATTCAATTTCTGTGTACTCCATGTGAATGATAAGAGTCATTCTGGTGGTTTTGAGAATGTTTTAACAATGAAGACATAAGTAGTTCTCCTGCTGGATTTCTTTTTCCTAGGCCATAAAGTGCAAGTAAGTTTTCCTCATTGCTATTTCAAACTTGGCATTCTAGTCTCCAATCATAAGCAGCACATCTTGCTTTCTTGTTTTGTCAGTTTCAAATTGAACTTGACCATAACATTCCTCCGCCTCCTCTTCTTCTGCATCAGTGGCTGGAGCATAAAGTTGGATAATTGTGATATTAAACTTACCTGATCTATACATTATCCCAGGAGAAGCTGTTGGTTACCTCCCACCTCTGTGATGTGAGGATGGCCAACAGCAGAGGCATTTTTTGGTTAGGGCCCCCATTCTTTGGAATAACCTCACCTTAGAAATTAAATTGGCCACTTCCTTAATTTATTACCTGAAACTATGAGACCTCTTCCAGAGAGTATTTGGTAATTAATATTTGGTGTTGAGTATTATTGCTGCTATTATGCTATTATTTTGGATTGGACAATAGTAGCTCCATCAGACTATAGAATTATGTTTTAAATTTATCTTCTGTGAATGTTTTGTGTTTTCTGTACTATCTATGTTTTATTTTTAATTGTTAATTATAAATGTTTGGGAGTCTCTGGCAGATTCATTCTTATGTAAGTGTAATAAGCAAATAAATGCATCTTTAAATAATAGCACATTAATAAATGAAGCCAGTAAGAGTCATATTGTTAATTCAATTGTTGACATTAAATTTCAGAACTTTGCAACATAATGATAACCCAGACATGCACCAGCCATGATTTCTTTCCCTGAAAGAACCATGAATCAGACCTATTCACCAAAGCAATCATCTTTTTATTCTTTCCAATCCAAAGAAATGTTGGAAATAAATTGTACAAAGAGGCTCAGAACTCAGTGTACCCATTGGCACAATAACTTTCTGAATACTGAACAGAACAGGACCAAATTTGGTGTGGAGGGAGAAGCTGGCAAAAGAAAAACCAAGCTAAAAAATGATCCGCAGGGATGGGCAGAAAAATAATTCCCTCAATGCATCCCTATTAGAGAGGCAGAATGCATCTTGTTGCTCCTCATCCCATCACCCAGAGTGGAATCTATGGAACTTGCCCTTTGCTTCCCAGTGCACATGTGTACACAAACACCCACAAGTGAGATATTTATGTGCCATGCTGATTAAACCCTCACACATATGCATACTCCCTGGTTGGTCCTCAGGGAGAAAGTGCCCACACCGATGCAACATGTTATTTTGTTACACAAAATAAATTAAAGATGCTTTCTATGGTCACAGCTGCTAAATGGGTTGGAATTGCAGAAGTCCTGCTCTACATCCTTTCCCTACCTTGTTTATCCTTCCAGTACAACAGAATGTTGGAAAGGAGCTATAAAAAGAGTGTCAGGGCTCGGTTGGCTTGCGTGTTCATTAGAAGACACAACAGAACAGAAGCAAATCTGGTATGTGGGGTGAAGCCAGCAAAAGAAAAATGGAGTTGGAAGATAGGGAAGCTCTGGTTTGGGGCTCTGGAGGAAAGAAAAATCCAGGAAAACTTCCCTAAAGCAAGGGTTCAGAATACTGCCAGCTTCTCCACTCCTCCTGATCATAAGACGCAGCCCAGAGTCTCTGCAGCTCTCAAGCACAATACCAGGGAAAAGTATAAACTCACACTGACACAAGAAGTTATTTTGTTTCACAAAACAAAATACAGATGCCTCTTGGAAAGAATTTCAGAAGCTGTCCTCTGCACATTTTCCTTGCTTGTCTATGGAAAGGAATGCTATGAGGTTTTCTTTAAGTACTGGTTTAGAAAGGGAGGACTGTTTAAACTTAATTCTAGCTTTTTCTGCTATCATTTTTTTGTTGTTAAATGAAGTCTGGAAAAAAATCACATGTTATGTATCTTGTACATCTGTTCTGCACCTTTTCTGTGAAGCTTCCAAACATTTTTTTCAGCATGCATTAGTCATTTTAGGTTCTTTGGAGCCCAAACTAGGCAAAAAAATAGGAAATTTTGTAGAGCAGTAGCCCAAGTTATTAATGCCTTTAAAAGAAAACCCAGAGAATGTGCTTAGGAGTTGCCTTGAAATTATATAATAATGGGCTTGGTTTTATGGCTCAAACTAAACACTGCTTTCATTGGGTATTTAAATGATCCTGGATGATTTGAGGATTAAAGTATTTGGATCACATGTCAAAGTTATACTTCACACATCACCAAAGAAATATGCTAATAGATGCATCTCCAGTAGAAATGGATCTAGCATTCATTATTCATTCAATAATTTAAATATTGCTCATGAGATCTTTACTAAAACCAAAAGATTTATATGGTCTAAAGAGACCAATTCCAATTCTTATATGGGGAAATCTTCTATGTACACACAGTGTTAGCACTAAAATTAGAAGTTTTAGAAACTCTCTTGTCTTTTAGCTTCAGCTTTTTTAGCTTTTCAGATGTTGACACACCATAAGAGACAGACCATTTTTCTTCCATATGATCAATAAAAGAGTGTATTTTCAAAATGACTTAATATTGATGAAGGGTCACAATTGCTTTCAGCATTGACTGTATGTCCATAATCACTTCTAGGGCAGTAAATTAACTTACTGCAGTCATTTTAAACATTGAAAAAGAAACAGTAAGCAAAATATTGTTACCTAGTTTGAAGAACAAAACTGACACTCTACCTTCTTTTGTTCCTTTGCTCTAGGAAGTGGATCTACATCGAGTGAACAGTCAGGACAAGTTTGGCCTTACAGTCTGCTACAGAACTGATGATGAAGATGATATTGGTATTTATATCAGTGAGGTGAGATGAAATCCCCTTAAACAACGCCAGCCTTTTGACTGTAGGTGCAATAGAGTTTTCTTTTAAGCTTGCTGTCGGTTACATTTCTTATTATCTTCCTAAAGGAGAGTTGATATATTATTTTTAAAAATCCTCTGGTATGCTAGCGTTTATACTCCCCATTCATGGATGAATTTTAATAAAAGTTCCAGACCTAGTTTTGAAGGATACCTACAAATGTCCTAGATAAAGGCTCAGCTATCCATTCAAGTCTTCAGACTTACACTCTGTGATTACTTGGTCAGAAATTAAGTAGGGAAGTTGTGCCTTCTCAGGGTTGATTTCTATTGCAGAATGCACTCTTTAGAGATGGGCTTCCTAAAGTTGTTGCCATAGTCACCAACATGCACATGGGTGTTTTCCTTGCTGCTTGCCATCTCCAAGTTCCTTCTGCTTTTTTATTAACTTTAATTATATAAATAAATGATTTATGTTCTTGTTGAAAACACCAGACTCCTACACCTATGGGTCCTACTCATGGATTGCTTAGATTCCTGTTACTTGATGACTTACTCATTGAATGTGTCAACTGTCCCCACTAAAAGAATTTTTGTTTCTATTGAAGTGGGTTAATATAAAAATAATGAGATTAGTCATAACTAATTTAAGCCCCATTGATTTCAGTATGCCACAATTAATTTGTAATGGTTGCCTGTTAGTCTGTTGCGGAAGAAAAGATCAAGAGTCTCATGGGACCCTAACCAATAATAAACATATTTCTAAATCCCACTTCATGAAATGCATGAAGTGTTATACCAAGCTGCCACGTTTGCATAGTAGAGTAGGGATTGGGTGTGGAATTATAAGCACTAAGGTCTGAAGCTAATGAAATGCAAACACGTAATGTGATATTTACTTGCATGTAGGACCACATAAAGTTTTCTCATTGGTTTTTCAGCCTGAAAAGACCAAGGAGGCATGGATGAAGTAGGGCTGAAATTTTCAGTGACTTTGCAAGGGGATGGGGATGGGGGTCAATGTATTAACAAGAACAGGTATGTTAAGCACTACTGAGGCTAAATGCAACTATTTTACAAATAAGTTCAGTAAACAAAATCATGCCAACAAATCAGTATTTTTTTCAGAGGGTTTTCTCTGAAACCCTCGTGCAGTTGATGTGTGTGTGTGTGTGTATTTGTGTGTGTGTTAACTACAGCAGGGCTCATTTGTGAATTCAAGACAACACTCAAGCCTATGCAAGTGTTTTCCTGCTACTGAGGACTGAAATGTGCTTGAAAATGTGGACATACATACAGCCGGTCCCCACAACATATATGTTACAAGACATTTTTCATATATTGTGTGATATACCTGAATAGGTTACTGAATGTATATTAATATATCTACAGGGCTTTTAGTTTGTTCCAATCACCCCACTCTGAGTAGTGTACAACTCTCTAATATATAATTAGGATACAAGTCAAATTTAAAACAAAGTAATACATTATGCCAACATAAAAGTATAAGAAGTATTCAGATGAATAAAACCAATTCCTTCTCAGGAGGAATAGTTAGAATGAACCAGCCCAAATGGCTTGATGAAATGGAAGAGTTTTTCATCACTAACTTCCTGAAGGCCAAAAAAGAGGGGATTGTTTGAATGCTGGGAATGCTGGAAGGGTGGCAACTGAGAAGGTTCAAGGGGTCACATAAAGTATTCACTTTACTAGACTATCAGGCAGGTAGATGTTACTGGGAGAAAAATTCAGGGCACAAATGCCACAGCAGCCTTCTCCCATAACTGTGAATGTTGTTCTATCAGGATTCCCGACTGTTGAGGACCCTCTTTAGGTGTCCACACTAAGCATGTGAAGGTCTTTCCACAATACTCAAATGTGAAAAAATATAGACTATACTTAAGCTTTTTGCCCAAGTAAGCAAATGCCTGCCTAAGATACAAGGGGTGATTAAATGTGAGCACCTTACCTGGTCTGTAAGAACCATGATTAATTTCTACCCACCGAGGTAGAATTATAAACCAGTCCAGTCCAGGAAATCAGCAATTGATGCACTTAAGCTTATTAAACCCGGTTTAAAAATTACATTACCCTGAGACGGGGGAATAAATATTTGTTAATTGTTAAAAACACATGCTGGGTGGATAGGAATACAGTTGAAAAGCTGCTTTTTGTTATTTTATAGATTGATCCAAACAGCATTGCTGCCAAGGACGGCCGCATCAGAGAGGGCGATCGCATAATTCAAGTGAGCTTGTAAAATATGTATTTATTTATTGTTTATATTTATATTTTACCTTCCTCTAGGAGCTCAAAGCCATATGCAGGGTATTCCCTTCTCCAATACTCCCGAGAGAGAGCGAATGGGTCAGAGTCACCCAGGTAGACTCTAAGGCTGACTTTCTAATCCAAGCATCTTTCCTATTATGTGAAACCCTACTTTAACTTTTGTATTTATTTATTTATTTATGTATAAAATTTATATAGCCAAGCATCTCACAGGCATGACTCTGGGTGGCGTACAATAAAACAATCAGTTAAAACAGATATAAAACAAGAGTATAATACAACAATTAAAACAATTTAATTTACATACAGTTTAAACACAGATATAAATAAGACTCTGGAAGAATGGACCAGCATCCTACACACAGTGTAGCCACCTCCCAGGCGCCCTATTTCCCTGGGATCCCCAAGCCTGTTTGAAGAACCAATTTGGAGGGATTTTATGGTTTTTCATATACTGACTTTGTGAACCACTGAGATTAAAATTTCTTTTGAGATGAACCACACTTCTGGTGACTTCGTGGGCATGTCCGTGTAATTTTCTTGGCAGACATGGTTTGTCGTTGCTGCCTTTTGGGATTTTTTTCAGCTTCCCCAGTCTAACTTTACCAATCATATTTTGAAAATCCCCCTGGATAAATCCCACCAAAACAGTCTCCTGGTGAAAGGCCAGATGCTAGCCGTTTTAGTCCAAATGCAGTTGTATTTACTCTCATAGATCAACCATGAAAGGCAAAGTGTTACCTGACAGCATTATGTTTATGAAAAACTACCTCAGGGGATAATCCAACAGTCTCTTAACACTGGTGTAATGTTATTGAATTTGCCATCATATAGCACTTTTAGCAGGCAAAGAGATTTATAATCCTTATTTTATTCAGCCTCACAACAGTCCCGTGAATCCCAAATGTCACATTACTTTTTGATGCAATAAAGTTTATGTGGCAAGAAGAGGTATTTATCTTTCCAGGGCAAAGTTTTAAAACTAGACTTTTCCTTGACATGGAAAATCAGCTCATTCCATGTTAGGATGCTCCTAAAACATGAACTGATTTTTTTTACATTAAACACTGTAGCTGCTTGATTATTTTGGTGAACCAAAAGAAGAAGAAAAAGAATATGGGAAGTGGGTATGAGGTAAATTCTTCCCATTTTAGAGATTCAAAAAGGAGCTAAAAAGCAATTACCTTGATCATTGGCTCTGGGGGTAAATGCAGAACTGAACTCAGATAGTTCTATTTGTTTCATGAATCTGCAGGTTGTTCTGATAAATTAAATGCCATAGGCTGTATAAGTGTCTAAACCCAGAGTAATATATCTGTCAAAAATATCAATATAGCGGCAGGTTTTTCTAGAGGCCTATTTTGATGCACCTTCTAGATGATTGGAGAGGGGGACCAGAAGAAGATTTTTTTTTTCATTTTCTTCCATCAGATTAATGGAATTGAGATACAAAATCGAGAAGAAGCTGTAGCTCTCTTGACCAGTGAAGAAAGCAAGAATGTCTCCTTACTCATAGCAAGACCAGAAATTCTCCAGGTGCAGTATTTCAATTACTTATGTGGATGTATTTTGTTTTACAATGAACGGTCCCTGTAATTGATAATAAAAAGGTTCCTGCAGGATATATCAGTATATTAAGCCAATAACAGCAGTAATAGGTGGACCCTTGGAAAAGGTGAAGAGCCACATTCCAAGGGACAGGTCATCCTGGAAAAGGTCTATCTATGTGGTCACTAAGAGCCAACACCAATCTAATAGCATGTAGTCAGTTAATCAGTCAAACAATATATATGACAGATGAGAGTACTAGCCTGCTGATAGAATTAAAAGTCAGGGTAGGAGCTAGGGCTATAAAGAAATGCTTTGCAGGGATGGTAACATGTAGTCAAAGAGATAAGAAGTGAAATGATGTTTAAAGGTGCTGGGGCTAGCAAATGGAAGACCAAAGAGTTAATGCAAAAATGGTGAAGGCATGAAGTTATTTTTTCCCCAAAGAGGGGAAAGCAAAGTTATTTGGCAATAGATTGAATATTTTACATTTGCAGTAGCTCTATTAGATTGAATATTTTACATTTGCAGTAGCTCTATTGGTCTCAATGTGCTGGATAGGCAGAATTCACCTCATCAAGACGTGATAATGATATGGTTTTGTAGATACCCAGAAGCTTCTCCCAGCACCTCTAGAGGCTCACTGAACACAGTTTGCAAAGCATTATCACTGAACTGATGCACCCTTCTGAGGTTTTTCACAGTCCCAATTGGTAGTTAACACTATATTATTGCCACATGTGTCCATGTCCATGTCAGAAACCATCTGGATATTTTTTAATCCCAGTAATAAATTTATTTCTAGGAATTAGTGGGGTGATGGGGATTCTTGACATTGGAGAGGGGAAATTTGTGCAGAATGATTTACTATTCTAAACTGGGATGACAGCAATACACATACTTACAGATCCACCCTTCTGCACCTGGGATTCACAGCATGGAAGAAAATTAGCAGGACTTCTGTGAGAAGATTGCTCCAAATAATGTATAAAGTTTTCCAAAAGACCATTGCTAAATTTTCTTTAGCACAGTATAGTTTATAAGCTTCTTAACTTTATGCTCCTAAGAACCCTGTTTGGTTTATTTCCTTTGCAGCTGGATGAGGGATGGATGGATGATGACAGAAATGATTTTCTGGATGATTTACATATGGACATGCTGGAGGAACAGCACCACCAAGCAATGCAGTTTACTGCCAATATGCTGCAGCAGGTAGATACCATGGCTGGGCCAGACGTCTGGTGAGCATATGGAAAATGTTGAGAGCCTGTTGTGGGAACTTAGTCAAACTCCAGACTGGAGGTATAAAACATGTCTCATGTGGTGGGTGTAGCCAGCCACAAAACACCCATTTACCAAAAGTAAATTGTTGGCACTGCTCACCCAACCATTGCTAGTTCTCAGGAAGTTCTCCATTGACCCAACATACTTCGGTCTCTTTTTCAGGATAGGTGTATACTTTTCCAAAGAAAGCACTGGCTTGTAGCTACCATTTTCATTTTAGGTTCCTAAAAATATCTGTGTGGAACCCAGAAATATTCTTATAAATAAAGTCTATGGTACAAGCTAGCACTTGGCCTTGCATCACTGAGTTTGAGATTCTCAGTACTTGAAAAAAACAGTTCTGTTGTGCCTTATACTAAAATAAATGAGTTTTTAGCTGCCCAAAGAATTGTCCTTTTGTGGATGGCATTTCACTATAGGAAGGAAGGCCAGATCAATCTTCTCTATGAGAAGATCTTGATAAACTCTGGCTCATTCCATATATAAAAATTAGGCCAAAAAACCCGACTGTGTGTGTTAGTTTTACATTTTTAATGGGCATGCCTGTTCTTAATTAATTTTCTGTTTAGAAGAAGAAAAATGAAGAGGATGGTGGCACCACAGATACTGCGACCATTTTATCCAACCAACATGAAAAAGACAGTGGTGTAGGACGTACAGATGACAGTACTCGGAATGACGAGAGCTCTGAGCAAGAGAACAATGGCGATGATCACATTACTTCCTCAAACACTTTGGGAAGCCAGAAGAAGCTTGCTTATAGCCATGACACGCTAGGCAGTGGTGACATGCAGTTCAGCAATGAGTCATTTATTTCAGCTGATTGCACAGATGCAGACTTCCTTGGCATCTCAGTGGATGAGTGCGAGAGGTTTCGTGAACTGCTGGAACTGAAATGCCAGGTCAAGTCCGCAGGCCCATATAGTCTGTGCTGCCATAACAGTACTCTGGATATGAGTAAAAGTGACCATGAAAGTGTGGACAGGGAGCTGGAGATGCTGAACGAGGAGTTGCGTAATATTGAGCTGGAGTGTCTTAATATCGTACGAGCCCATAAGATGCAGCAGTTGAAGGAACAGTATCGAGAGCCATGGATGCTGCATAACAGTGGCTTCCGCAACTACAATACCAGCATTGATGTCCGCCGACATGAGCTCTCAGATATCACTGAGCTCCCAGAAAAATCAGATAAGGACAGCTCCAGTGCATACAACACTGGTGAAAGTTGCCGAAGCACACCGCTCACGTTGGATATCTCCCCGAACAACTCTCTATGCAGGACAGCAGACACTCTCACTTTACAAGGCAGTGAGGGGGCAGAAGGCACTCTGAAAACATTGCTGCCTAGCTCAGAAGATCAGGACGCCAGCCTGGCTAAACCCAAAGATGCTGATCTTAGCCAGCCGCTGGATGTCAAGGAAAGGAAGCTCAACGATGGAAGCAAAAGCCAAGCTCCACCTCCCAAAGCCGGTGGGCCCTCTTTGTCTTCGTATCAGCACTCTCCGTACAAGCATGCCCATATTCCTGCCCATGCCCAGCACTACCAGAGCTACATGCAGTTGATCCAACAGAAGTCAGCAGTGGAATATGCGCAGAGCCAGATGAGCTTAGTGAGCATGTGTAAAGACTGGAACTCTTCAAGCCAGAGTGAACCCAGGATGGAATGGAAAGTCAAGGTCAGGAGTGACGGTACTCGCTATATTACCAAGAGGCCAGTAAGAGACCGGCTGCTGCGAGAGCGTGCTATAAAGATCAGGGAGGAGCGCAGCGGCATGACAACAGATGACGATGCCATCAGCGAAATGAAGATGGGCCGTTACTGGAGTAAGGAGGAGCGGAAGCAGCATGTTGTGAAAGCAAAGGAGCAGAGGAAGCGGCGCGAGTTTATGATGCAAAGCCGGTTGGAATGCTTAAAGGAACAACAAGGGACTGAGGACAAGAAGGAAATGAATATCATAGAATTGAGCCACAAAAAAATGATGAAGAAAAGAAACAAAAAGATATTTGACAATTGGATGACAATCCAAGAACTCCTAACCCATGGCACAAAATCACCAGATGGGACGAAAGTTTACAACTCCTTCCTGTCAGTGACTACGGTATAATTTTTCTGTGCCAAAGCTAAGTACCTCAAACCCTTCCGTTGGGGTAGAGATTCTTGCCTCGTTCAATGTGGCAACACTTTTTTTGTTCGTTTGTTTGTATATAAGACACGTTCATCGGATCCACCATTCAAATGGAGAACTTGGGTTTCTCAAACGTTCTCAAAGAGGAGAGAGAGATCATCCACCCCAAATCTTTGAAGGCAATACTGAAGAGGCAGAGCTTATTTGGAATACCAATAGTACCTTTTTTTTGTAACTTGTTATCCTTTTGCATAAAGTGTTTTAAAATAACAGGAAAACATATTAATCATACTTAACGCAGGTAATATCTTTTTAAACTATATTCATATCTTAAAAAAGGTTACACATGCAGAAACGCAAAGACAACCTCAAATATGTATTTTTAACAAGACAGTATTTTGCAATATATCTTTGCTATTATGTCCTTTTTCTGCCGAAGTTACTGTTTTAATCAATATTTTTAGCTGAACTAGCAAACCCTTCCTAGAATCGTTTTGCAGTAACATATCACACCGGCTGTGTCTTTGGAGTTGTACATATATATTGTTTTGCCTCCTGGGACAGCTTGCCTGTCCATCATGGGACCTATGATAGGTAAACTAAACACAGCTTACCTGCCAGATAGGATAAATCCTGATGTACCTCCCTAGATTTGATGTCTGATTGGAATAATTTGGATTGCACTGGCTGGACTGATAGTGTTAAAATCTCACTGTGATTACTATAGATACTTGGGTAGCCACAGTCCTACTTCAGCAAAGTAGCCAGAGATAGATCATTGGAATAAAATGAGGATACAGATACAGAGACTATGGAGGAAGCTTACCATAAAAGAGTATGGGGCAGACGGTACTTAGGCACTGAAAGTATTATGCATATGACTCTTTAGGGCTCTAGCTAACAGTTACACTCTCTTAATTTCTCTCTCTCTGGTTTCTGAAGGAAGGAAGTAGGTATCACTTGAAAGAGCAGAAGGCAACTCCTACATGCTGCAGCTCTGAAAGGTTTCGAAGTTTGCCAAGGCTGTGGCCTGTTGAACGAATGTGCATGTGTGTCTAATGGTATTACAAAACCAATTGTGTAATTTGAAATGCCCATTGTAGTAGCTGTCAGCTTTGTAGATTGGAATGTATTGAAATTGAGAGCAGTTTTCATGGAAATCATGACTAGTTATTAACAAGTAAAATGAAGTTAAAATAAATTATTGTTTTATATTTCAACTCAATTGTAGTAGGGTTTTTTTTCCCTCTTTTTTAATCCATTATCCCCAGCATTGCCACTGCCTAGCCTTGCATTGTTCTGTACACCAATACTGATTTTCTCTAGCTGGGTTTGTTGAATCTGGGTTTATTTTTAGTATTGGTATGAACAGGGTGCAAGCATCTACATGCTTGGAAATAATCCTTGAGTTTAGAAGAAATAAATAATGCTGTGCCACAATCTACCTTGCAGTTTCTCAGAAGTTTCCTTCTCTAAAAAGATTCTTTCCTTAATCATATTCTCAAAATGATTTTTTTTCTTTCAAAATTATTTTGATGGTATTTTTGAGCTTGCTTTATTGCTGCAGTTGGCAGAATTCTGCTGTTGGCACTGTTTGTTTTAAATATCTTCTCTTCATGCTGAACCCTTCTTGGCTACGCATATGTCCCAAGGAAATGGCCCAATGTCTTCCCCTGGGATTTAATTGAAGTATGAACAGTCAAGGATTCTGCAAACCTTTAGAGAAAAGACTGCAGAATAAAAGACAGAACATTCACTCTTCACCACCTCCTAACTAACTCAATATTCTATTCCACCCGTGGAAATTTCATGGAAATTCTCTTTTCCTTTTAAAAGAAGTTTTAATCACAATCTCTCTCATCAAATTGAAAATGATAGGAAACATGCAGAATTGTTTGTCATTGTTTTCTTAGGTTTTTGAAAATAAGAGACAACTACTGGGGATCAGAATCTTGTTTTTTTCTTCTAAAATCCTCATACCAAAACTTTTTTAAATGTTACCTCATGGTTGCTTCTTTTCTACAAATGTTAGCACACGAGAATCTAAATTACCCAGATGCAAAAAATGCATCAGATTAACCAAATGAAAGCATGAAGAAAAAGAACTACCTCACTATATTTTTGTGAATCGTAAAGTCCCAGATGGGCACCTCATTCTGTCTCTTAAAAATCTTTGGAAGAAGTCAGTTCCAAACTTGGGAGCAACCCCTAAGGGTAAAATTGATCTTATATTCATCTTGTTTGTTTGTTTGTTCGTTCATTCATTCATGTTATTAAATGTATATGCCACCCAACTCCCAGCAACTCTAGGCCCAGATATGGCTGATTTTTGTTTTCTCATGGTTTACATTGTTTAGGCAAGGAGCCTTCTTATGTATATGGTCTTTTTATATAGTTCGTCTTTTTAACTAAATTAATGTGGAATTTATATTTTAACTGTTTTGGGGGGTTTTAATTGGGGGCCGCCCAGAGTCACCCTCTGGGGGAGATGGGCGGCATATAAATGTAATAAATACATAATAAATATGGAGATGATGAAGCCAGCTTACCTTATCAAGTCTTTTAGGCACCAATGTCTAAGCATGCAATGTTCATGGCAGTAAGTCCCATTAAACTTGCAGAAACTTACCTGTTAATGGGGGGGGGGGAGTGATCTGCAGTATGTTTATTTTTATCACTACAAAGTTTGAAATTACCATCCTCCCACCTTCCTGCATTGTGAAATGGAAGAATCCCCCAAAAGAGAACTTGCTTCACCATTGCTGCTAGCCCTCTTTAAATTAAAACACAAGCTATCACATATTAGAAATCACAAACTGCCTAGGGGCCACTGGATGGACAATTAATTAGGGTTATAAACTGAAAATATGTAAACTAATCTAATCTTCAGTGGCCTTTGGAAAGAGGTTACCAGATTTTTGTTAGCAAAATTGCTCAAATGTCTGGGAGCCACATAAAAGGAAGCAATCAGCAATTTAAGCTCCTTCACTTATTTTGATTTCAACGGAGGTCTTGTGTGGCAGATCCCTGTGGAAAACAAACTAATTAGGAAAAGACATTGTCACACAAAAAGGGTGACAATCAGAGATAGGAACAGTGTATGTATTTCCTCCTTTCTCCTCCCTGCCCACAAATGTGATTACATTTAAATTCTTTGCAGCTGGAATGACAGAAGATTAAGTCAGATTGTCCTTACATTTTCTCTGCAATCCACAATCCCCGTGTATCTTAGCAAAAGAAACTTCATCTCGATGAGAAGGCTCTCAGTGCAGACTTTTCAATTGTGCCTCTGTATTTTGAATAGCCATTTATATTGTGAAGTAAAAGGAAATACACATTTTAAAAAAGTCCCTGAAAACAGAAATATGGTAGATGTGTATAACAAAACTCAGTTATTTCTGAGTTGAAAAGCCAAGGGGGCAGACAACTTTTTCCTTCCTCTTTTTGTGCACCCAAAATCAATCCACCAATCCAGTCTACAAAATTTTAGGCTCATTATTGTAAGAGGAAATGTTTTAGTGTCAGGATTTTATTACCTGCATACATGGTACCTTCTTCTGGGAAGCAGACTAGAAAATAGTAGTAAGGGTATTGGTGGTGATGGTGATGGTGATGATGATGATAGCAATGATGGTTTTTTTCATTCAAGAAGATGGCTTACAGAATCATTCTTGGAGGTATAAAAGTCACACAATCATTTCATGATTGATATCTTTACTTGGGACTGTTCATCACAATTACTTTGTATCCTATGAAAAAGAACAGGTGGAGTGAATCACTGTTTAACATTTTAATACCCCACTTTTATTAAGTATACTTCTATAACTCATGGAAAAAGCATGAAAAGGAGGCATGCATTTCTAGAGATGAACATCCACCAGTAAGTCTTCTTGAAATGGCACATAAGATTACCCCTTCCATAGGATGCAATATTGCTGCAACATTTCAGTATACACACATACTGCTGGGCAGAATGAAAGTTGTTCTAGACTCACTTTCCTTCAGCAGCAGAGACTTAGCACTGACCCAATACAACATGCTAGTCTAGGAAAATATCACCAGTTTGGCAAGGTGTTCCTGGATTGCAAGTCTTGTAAGTAGAAATAGGACCATTGTCCATCATGAGCTTCCATCAAATTGTTTAATATACTAATTATTGTCACTTCTACCCTCAAATTGAGAAATACTCCGGGTTCCAAGCAAGTGGTGTTTTGCCTACCCACTGATTGCCTAAACCCTAGCCCCATTCTTTCTTCTCATCTTGAGAAAGAACAAGACCTACCTTCAATCTATTCTATATAAAGGGAATCTATCTGGGCAGTAAAACACAGCAGTATATCTTGCATATCAAGAAAGTTGAGCTTTTTAATTCTTATGGTAAATAAGTATGAGTCTGTTTCTAGTATCAGTACCACTCAGAGAAAAATTTGGCTTCTTGACAGCCATTCTCGTCATGGTTTTAGATGAATAATCAGTTGAAGGACTTCTAAAATAACCCCTTTGACAAATCAGCCTCTTTATGTTCTTTGCCACTATGGACTCTTGCAACAGGGAGCCCCATTAAGAACAAGGGAAGAGCACTTCTGTCAGAATGAACTCTCTGTGACCTTCCCTTCCAAATATGTGTTCAATCAGATTGGAAAGTGGGCCTCCCAGGTGTCACAGCAAGACTGGTGACTTGGGAAGAATTCTATTGTCTTCAACAGGAGTGCTGGCTTTGAGATTTTGGATAAGCCAACCTTCAGCATAGTATGCCTTTGTTATTAAAGGAGGCCCTGAACAAAGGCCTCACAAAAGGCAAATCCAACAATAATTGTTCAAAAAACCAAGTTCTAGAGAAGATCACATTAAAAGCTTCACAATGATTGGTTCCATATTGAGATTAGTAGACCCTACAAGAATATGGCTTCATATAAAGTTCAAATGTTGATATTAATTGATTAGGAAAAAATGAAGTCAGTTCTGATTAAAGTATCCTTCTATCTTTGGTTATGCATTTTTCCAGACGCAAGAAACAAGAGGCTATTTTCATTACACGTGCAAAGTCTAAAATCAGTGTGGTCCATGCTTGCCAAAACAACTAAATGCATTTCTTCCATCTTCTTTAATATAAATGTGAATCCCATTTTACTTGTTAACAGAAAGCTCTTGCTTATAGTAACGGTGCCTATCTTGTTTTAGTTATCATACCTACTGATCCTTCAAAGGTATATTCACATGACAGCTCATAAGACATTCCCTGTTCTTATTTCACCATTCACAGTCTAAGTTTCCAAATACCATTGATCCCCAGAGTAAATGGATTGCTTCTGAACTAACTGCACAAGTTGTGTCTGCTTAATTGTGGCTGATAGTGTTGATCATCCATGACAAAACTGAATATGTTCCAAAATTTAGGGCATTCCAAATTAGGAAGCAAGTTGGGGTTTCATGGAAGATTCTAAACCCCATTTAAATTTTAAAGAGGTAACTCTTGAGTTAAGTTTGGGTCCTGGCAAATACTTGCATATGTTCATGCCATTTTCTTGGCAACAGTACAGAGACAGTTTGTCACTGCCCTCTTTTGGGATATTTTTCAACTTCCTAGTTTATTCTGCAGCCTGACTATTCCTGAAGATCTCCAAGTCCCTGTTTTGCTTTTTTTGAGGTCACAAAGATCAGCTGTATGCTGCCTCTAACTGAGTTTTAGGCTTTAGGAGTTCCGTATTATGTAATCTGGACCAGTGATATCCAAGAAGAATAGATGCAGTTTTGGCTCATATCTAGGGAAAAACAAGAATATAGGACTTTCCTGGGTGAAATATTAACTCCAAAGTGGGCCACCCTACAACAGAGACTAACTACAGTCAGGTCAGGAAATATTGGGACATCGACACAATTCTAACATCTTTGGCTCTATACACCAAACCATTGGTGAGCCTCAAAAACAGGAAGGCCAGATTAGAGTTTGCCAAACGACATCTAAAAAAGCCTTCACAGTTCTGGAACAACATCTGATCCTGCTCAGCATGAAAACTGATAACCATTGGTGAGCCTCAAAAACAGGAAGGCCAGATTAGAGTTTGCCAAACGACATCTAAAAAAGCCTTCACAGTTCTGGAACAACATCTGATCCTGCTCAGCATGAAAACTGATAACCATTGGTGAGCCTCAAAAACAGGAAGGCCAGATTAGAGTTTGCCAAACGACATCTAAAAAAGCCTTCACAGTTCTGGAACAACATCTGATCCTGCTCAGCATGAAAACTGATAACCATTGGTGAGCCTCAAAAACAGGAAGGCCAGATTAGAGTTTGCCAAACGACATCTAAAAAAGCCTTCACAGTTCTGGAACAACATCTGATCCTGCTCAGCATGAAAACTGATAACCATTGGTGAGCCTCAAAAACAGGAAGGCCAGATTAGAGTTTGCCAAACGACATCTAAA